CAAACCATTCTGTGATTCTATGATAATTTTTTTCCCCCTCAGAATAAAGAAGACAGTGAAAAGGATGAGAAGAAGGATGAGGAGAAACAAAAATCAAAGCGTGGGCGACCCCCTCTGAAATCTACTCTTCCATCAAACACATCTTGCAGTTTATCCAAAACACCTAATAGTGAAGGTAAATCAGGAGCCAGGAGTGCACGGAACAACTTGTCAGATTCCTCACCATTACCAAATGGAACAGAAGGTACATCTGGTGCACTCGTGTTCTGGCATGGAACTGCATGCAAACACTGACGTAATGCGGTGCATTAATATGGCAGCTTCAGCGAACACAGTGCTGTCAGCAGCTTTAAAGTCCTACTTAACCAGTCAGTGCTCAAGCAATATAATAAAACAAAATTTTTTGGCACAGATTTTACTCTATAAAAAAAAAAAATTAATACTTTTGATTTTGATTTTAGCGACACCTCGCAGGCAGACGAGACGTAGCTCAGGAATGTTTGATTCTGATAGAGGATCAAACGGTGAGTGATCTCAGTCCTGTGTATGCTTTTGAGGTTTTTTTCAGTACCTTTTGGAAAAGAGGTTTGATTTTTATTTTTTACCTTTTTTTTTCCTCCTCCCTGTGAATTTTATTGAGGAAGTAGTTGAGCTGACACTTCTGAGGAGCACAGTTTGCTCACAGGAGAGCTATGGCATGGAAATGGCTGTGCAAATAATTCCATGTTGTTTAGCCAGAGCCTTTCAGTTCTAATCTTGAACAGCCCAGATCTATTGATATAATGATAGTCTGTATTGTGGTAATTAAGTTCTCGACCTCAGTACTGTATCATCCAGCAGAGCTGTTAATTATATACAAATGACAGCAATATTTTTGGTATTTCTAAGCCTCTGTGAGTGAGAAGTGAAGTGAAATCACTGTCTCCTTTTAGTACAGGTCCCTGAATATCTCCTGGTAACGTAACAGTGCTTGCTCTGTGTATGGTGTATGATTTGTACAACAGTTTAGCAATGAAATGTCCATATTGTGGTATGGAAGTGTAGGGGGTTTTTTTTTGTTTGGAGGTTGTTAGGTTGTTTTGGGTTTTTTTTTCCTGTTTGGGGGTGCATGGAGGGGAGGAGTCTTGTTTTTCATTTTTTTAACATCAGGTGGGAGAGGCCATATCCACAGGTAGATACCAGATCATGGGAATCTGTAAAACTATTTTCACTAGTATAAGCTGTAATTTGTTTATATTGGCTTATTTGGCAAATAGCAGTAGTAGAATCATAAAATCATAGAATATCTCAAGTTGGAAGGGACCCATAAGGATCATCAAGTCCAACTCCCTGCTCCTTGCAGGACTACATAAACTAAATCATATGACTAAGAGCGTCACCCAGATGCTCCTTGAACTCTGGTAGCACTACTGCTATTGTAGTTTCATAGAAATTTTCAGTAAAAATAAAGAACTGTAATAAGTGTGTTGAATAACGCAGGATTTTTTAAAATTTGAAATAGTTTGTTGTCAACTGATGTTAATGCTATAGATTACTGAAAAAACCCCTTTTGTGTAGTTGAAAAAAGGAATTGTGTTGTAATTGATAATTTAGGGTGCTATTTCCTTCTTTTTTAAAAATTTTTTTGCAGACTCTGGCTCATCTGACAGTGAAGCAGATGAGTCATCTGAAAAGAATTTGAATGAAGAATTTTCTCCAGAAACTTCAGAACTGGAAAAGAGTGAAAAACCACATGATGAGAAGCTAGATGAAGAAAACCCAAAGATTCCTCATGCATTGAAAGAAAATGACAGGACTCAAGTACAGCCACTAGAAACACTGAAACTGGAAGTTGAAGAAAGTGAACAAATTGTTCAGATTTTTGTGAATAAAACGGAACAGATAGAAGAAATCAAAAGAGAGGCTGAAAAATCACCTAAAGGAAAAGGGAGAAGGAGCAAGACAAAAGATCCTTCGTTAGAGAACGCAAAGGTTGCACCAGGAAGCCAAGAAGAGGTGGCAAATGAAACTCTTCTGGAACCTGAAAGGTTAGACATGTCTTCCTTGGACTGTAAAGAAATTTCCAGCACTACTGAAAGTGAAACAGAGCCTTCTACAAGAGATAAGAAGCTTTTGAAAAGGAAAAATTTGGAGCAGGCATTGCCTGAGAAGAGAAGTCGTCGGGAGAGTGAGATGGAAGTGCCAAATATCATATCTGAAGAGAGGACCAATGAATGTACTGGAGCAGAGGAATGTAGAGGGCTGAATGCTGAAGAGTCCCTCAGAACTGAAAATGAGGAAATGCCATCCCTGGTGGCAGAATCAGTTCAGCATGGCCAAGAGCTGAGGAATGAGAACTTTGAATGTCCATCTGAAGAAAATGAGAATGTTCCCTTAAAAGATGAGGACGATGCCATGCCTCAGATTGGTCCTGAAACTTTGCTCTGCCATGAAGTAGACTTGGATGACTTGGATGAAAAGGAGAAGACCAGCAGTGAAGAGACAATATCAGAAAAGCCAGACGCTAATGCTTCAAATTCAAATCCATCTGCCTTACCCCCTGCCGTCCAGTCCGGCTTTTCAGCAGCCTCACCTCTTGCTCTGAGCCAGGACGAGTCGCACAGTATCAAGAGTGAAAGCGACGTGACTATTGAAGTCGACAGCGTGGCAGAAGAGTCTCAAGAAGGTCTCTGTGAAAGCGAGTCCGCTAACGGATTTGAAGCCAGCACTACATCGAGCAATTGCAGTATCACTGCGCAAGAGAGAGAGGCTGGAGAGAAAGGTGAGCATTTCCTGCCACGTCGTGCCCTCCTGCAAGCATTTCTGAACTTCTCTTAAAGCCTGGTGTTACTTTGCTAAAAATTGCTGGTTTGTTTTGTCATCTGGTTTTAAATCCCTTTGTTGTTTACTAAAAAAAAAGCTTGTTAGTAGCAGAAATATTTGATTATTTTTTTTTTTCTTTTCTTTCCTTTCTCATTTAGGTCAGAAAAGGCCCAGTGACAGCAGCAGTGGAACACTGGCAAAAAAACAAAAGCGTACTCCAAAGCGAACAAGTGCTGCAGTCAAAAATGAAAAGAATGGAACAGGTACATTCCTGGAGAGGGAGAGGGGGAAGGTTCTGCTGTCCTATAAACATGTATAAGGGCCCACTGCTCTCACTGTTACCCATTATCTGAGGGGGGTACTTAGGGGCCTACAAGAAAGCTGGGGAAGGACTTTTCATAAGGGCAATTAATGACAAAACAAGGGGAAATGGGTTTAAGCTGAAAGAGGGGAGGTTTAGATTAGATATTAGGAAGAAGTTCTTCCCTGTGAGGGTGGTCAGACACTGGAACAGGTTGCCCAGAGAAGCTGTGGCTGCTCCTCCCTGGAAGTGTTGAAGGCCAGGTTGGATGAGGCTTTGATCAACCTGGTCTAGTGGAAGGTGTCCCTGCTGATGGCAGGGGGGTTGGAACTGGATGATCTTTAAGGTCCCTTCTAACCCAAACCATTCTGTGATGCTTTGATTTCTGTTGCTTGGGACTTCCTTGTCAGAGTTTTTCATTATTATTCATCATGATTATTAACTGTTCACCAGAGAGCACTTAGCAGCTGCGTGGTAGCAGTGTTACTGGGAAATCTCTTGCTTATTTTCAATTACTTTGTTAGGAAAACCTTTTAATAACTGTATATTAGCAGTTACTAAATATTTACCGTTATGCTGATTTTTATATATTGGGTTGGTTATGAATTTGGGAGAGGGGAATTTGTTCTGAATAGAAACAGCTCCTTTAAAATCTTACAATAGGTGTTTCTCATGGGGGAAAAAGTGCATTTATGAAGTATAGAAAAAATGTTTGATGCTAAAGAATAACTTATCAGCAAAAGGAATCTTGTGTGGATTTATCTCAAACATGTGACTGTTTTTTAGCTTCCTATAGAAACCTGGATTTTTGTGTTTCTGTAGCTCATTTTTGGTGATCATCATATTGAATGAGTCAACATATTTAGGCCCTGTGGCAGTACTGTTACAATTTTTAAATATCAAACTAAAATATTCAGTGTCTGACATACAATATTCAGACATATTTAACATGCCTGTGTAAAACTTTGTAATTATTTTGGGAATCTAAAACGTTTGCATGTCTCAGCTTAAAATTTTCTGTTACATGTTAAATCTTTTGTGCTTTTAGTTAGATTTCAGAACTGTTCCTTTAGATGTGTAAAGCAGTTTGGTAAATCACAAAACAGCAATCAGAGCACTGATAAGCTATCTTTTCTTATTAAAATAAGCTTTTTTATTGCTTCTTTAAAAAAATTTGACTAAAGGCCTGGTCAGCCCTTGACTTGTCCTCCGTTAATGATGTCTACACTTGAGAGGTCAGTGCATGTTGTGTCTGACAAGGTCATACATTGAATCTGATACAGTTGTTCCTTGTCTGCATTCTGGCATCTTCTGAGCAAGAAGGAGCAGTTTTTTCTTACCATTTTTTCTGAGTATAACTACATTTTTTTAAATGTCAAGGGTTTGTTGGGGAGGGAGTTGTTTTGTTGGGGGTTTTTTTTGAAGTCCAACTACATTTCTCTTACTCTCTTACTGCAGTACAAAGTAGTGACAGTGAAGACCTTCCTGTCCTGGACAGTTCAAGTAAATGTACTCCTGTAAAACACATAAATGCATCCAAACCACAGAAGATTTCTCGATCACCTGCAAGAGTGATTTCACCTCACATCAAAGATGGAGAGAAGGATAAACACAGAGAGAAACACCACCACCAGAATGCTTCGCCTAGAGTATACAAATGGAGTTTTCAGCTCAGTAAGAATTCTTTAAATGACTTGATTAGGGGGAATTTACAAGAAAATTGGTTCTGAAAGAAAAATGTGCAAATACTGACATTCTAAATTAGGTGTAGGCCTTCTATGATGTAGTGATGGAAGTGTGTTATCTTTCATGCCGCATCTTTACTGGAACAGGTTGCCCAAGGAAGTTGTAGATGCCCCCTCCCTGGAAGTGTTTAAGGCCAGGCTGGATGAGGCTTTGAGCAACCTGACTAGTGGAAGGTGTCCCTGCTGCTGGCAGGGGGGTTGGGACTGGATGATCTTTCAGGTCCCTTCCAACCCAAACCATTCTGTGATTCTATGATCTTGTATACTCTTAAGAGTTGCATTCATTTGTTTAGAATCACCTTGCTGAAGCTTTTTTTTCTTTTCTTTCCACTTTTAAGATGAACTAGACAATATGAGCAGCACTGAAAGGATCTCCTTCTTACAAGAAAAACTACAGGAAATACGAAAATATTACATGTCCCTGAAGTCAGAAGTAGCAACCATAGATAGGAGAAGAAAACGATTAAAAAAGAAAGACAGAGAAGGTAACTTTCAGATTTGCTTTATGCTTCCCATCAGAAGCTAATTTTCTTGAAAATACATAACTCAAAGCAGCTTGAGTTTGATTGACAGTATTTTTGAAAAAAGCTGTTACCTGTTTGTCTTGTTTGTACGTGTACATATTTAGAAAGACTATTTGTGGCTTCTCAGAACTTGAACTTAACAAAAATACTCACTGTTCTATAACTGTGTATTAGAAACTTGTGCTTCCTAGTGCAGGCTCGGTCTGAGTTTTTAACCAGCTTAATGACTCATCTCATTTATCTTTTCAAATGGTCTGTGATGCAGGAAGGGGAAGGGGAAGGGTAAGCTCATCCAGCTTTTGCAAATACAGCAATGAAAGCAATTAGCAGTTTTGTGTGACTGGGCCACTTCTCTGAGGTCTTTTAAACAACCTCATAACCAAGGAAGCCTTCATTCTAACGTGTACTTTGATAATCTGATGCTGATCTGTTGTTTCTCTCTCTATTCAGTGTCACATACAGGAGCATCTATGTCATCTGCTTCATCAGACACTGGAATGAGTCCATCATCATCTTCTCCTCCACAAAACGTGCTTGCTGTCGAATGCAGGTGATACACATTTCTCTGCCTTGCCAGCAGCTTGCTGCCATGGACATAAATCCTGAAATTCAACCACAGAAAGCACTCAACTGGTTTGACATTGCCAAGTATATTCTGTACACACTTCCACTGCTGGACTCTACCTGTTCTCCCCCCCTACCCTCTTCTTTTTTTGTTGTTTTTTTCTTTTTTTTTTTTCCTTTTTTTTTCTTTTTTTAATTTACTGTTCAGAGAAATTAAGCTCGTTAGCTGAAGGTCTGTAGGCACAATGTGACACGCTCGTCATTGTGTTTATTTTTGTTTTTGTTTTTATTAATGCAGAGAAAAGGGCACTTATCAAATTTGAAGAGTTATGTCCAATGAAGCATTCAGGTGTTCTAGGGAGATCTTAGAAAAAGCAAGTGCACCAAGCAGACATCAGAGTATTATCAAAAAAGAAACAAAGTGAGTAACTGCTGCACTTTCACCGAGCTGTACGTGAACTCTTGGTGAGTAGTTCCTCTTTCTGGAAGCACTTGCTATACAGAACTGCCAAAGTATGTGTTCAGCAATGTGCCCAGTTTTAAAGGTGTAAATGGGACAAAATAAATTGTGAAAGGAAGTGTAGTTGACTGAAAACTACAGTTGTAATAAGTCTTCCACTTTTTATAGGATTTTTGAGCACACAGTTATGCAAATATTTTAATGTTTATTAATGTTTACAGTGGAATTGTGAATAGGTTTTCAGTGGACTATCTTATCCCTTGACAAAAATATTTTGTCTTTTTTCTATGTAATTTCAGAGTTTTTATTTTGTTACAAAAAGACGAAAAATGAAATATATAACAACAATGAAATTATTTAACAAGATTTCTAAAGCTGAAATTTTTGTGTAAAATAAGGTATCTTGCAACTTGTTAAATATATTTATTCAGACATTGGATGTTGTATTTTTATGTATTTTTTAAAATATTAATAAAATTGGAAAAAAAAAAAACATAATCTAGGTTAGTTCACTCTTTTGATCAAACACACTCATCAGTTGTGGCTCTTGAGGAGGTTTTATCCAGTAGCCGTGCCTGTATTTCAGATGGGTCTGTCTACATAATCCTCCCCAACACGGATCTGGATTAAACAATGACTTTATTTGGAAACTTTGGCAGTCCTAGTACTTACTTTTGAGGAACAAAATTTATTGGGTTGCCCTTAAGTGATATTTTCTCACAAGTCCTTGCGTTCGCTATACTGCCGAATGAATTTCTATCTCCCAAAGTTGAGATGCAACAATAAAACTGTGTACGCTTTGTCTGTGGATTGTCCCACGGACAGATACAGTTTGTAAATAACTCTTCCAAACCCATGTATTTAAAACAGTTTGCATATACATTATGTATAAAAGTGATTTTTTTATCAATTTTTGTATTCATGTTTGTACATTGGAAGGGGTTCTTAACCCCTTTTTCTGTGTTTAATATGCTGTAGAGTAATAACATAGATGCTCTAGACTGTATATCAGGATATTCTGGTTCACACGGCAGAAAGTCAGAAGGAAACACTAGTGATGGCGTAGCATTACTAAAATTGATGTTTCTTGCAATTTCATTTTACAACATTTGTCAACTTGTGATTCCAATTCCTTCCATTTTCGCAGGAAATTAAAGAAAAAGTACTCTTGTAAATGCACTTTTTCTGTCTTTTCTTAAGCAAAGCAGAACTATTTCAATGTAAGATAAATATGGAGCTCACTAGACAGCATTAATAAAGGCCATGTTTTAAACATAGGCTTTATATTCTATTTTTATTTAAGGTGATTGTTCTTGTAAATGTCTGGACTTACCTAAATAGGAAAATTAATCTCCATAAATTGTTGTAAAGACTTTTTTTTCAGAGCTAACTTTTACTGTTAATCTTATAATAGCTATGAATAAAAAGCAATACTCATTGAAAAGGAAGTAACATGGGTCACATTTTCTCAGATCATCTTCCATGTTTTAATATTTGCAGAAGTAGATTTTAAATTTGGTGAAATAATAGATGAATTACATCTTACTGCAGCTGTCTAACCTCTGTCTGCACACGGCGTGAGATCTTACACAGGCCTATACACACACTCAGCAGGCACAGATGATGGATGAGCTCTTACCCATCAGGACAGTGTGTACACTGCTTCTCCGTGTCTCTCAGGAATGTTTGAAACACTCACAGAATCGTAGTGGTTGGAAAAGACCCT